TACTGAAAGCATTGTATAAATTCAATGCAATCTCTATAAGGATATCTATGACATTCTTCAAAGAAATGGAGCAAACACACCTGAAATTTATATGGAACAATAAGCCCCCACGAATAGCTAAAGCAATTCTTGGGAAAAAGAAAATGGGAGGAATCAACCTCCCTAACTTCAAACTCTACTACAAAGCAGTAATAATTAAAACAGCATGGTACTGGAACAAAGGCAGAACTGCAGGCAAATGGAACAGGGTTAAATACACTGACATCTCCCCTCAATTATATGATCATCTAATCTTTGATAAAGGTGCAAGAAAAGTGAAGTGGAGCAGGGAACGCCTCTTTAACAAATTGTGCTGCATCACTGGATGACTACATGCAAAAAAATGGGCTCAGAACTCTGCCTAACACCATGTACAAAAGTAAGATAAAAATGGATTAAAGACCTCAACATCAGACCAGAAACCATAAGGTACATTGAATATAAAGTTGGCAAAACCCTCCATGACATTGAAGCTAATGGTATTTTCAAAGATGCCACGCCACTGACCGAGCAAGTGAAAATAGAGATAGATAAATGGGACTATCTTAAACTAAGAAGCTTCTGCACCTCCAAAGAAACAGTGACCAAAATACAAAGACAGTCTACAGAATGGGAAAGGATATTCGCTGAATACACATCTGACAAGGGGTTGATATCAAGGATATACAAAGTACTGGTTGAACTCCAGAAGAAGAAAACATCCAACCCCATCAAAAAATGGGGCAATGAAATGAACAGAAACTTTCTCACAGAAGAAATCCGAATGGCAAAAAAGCACATGAGAAAATGCTCTACATCATTAATCATCAGAGAGATTCAGATCAAAACCACAATGAGATACCATCTCACACCTCAGGGACTTGCCCACATTCAAAAGAACAAAAGCAACCGATGCTGGCACAGATGTGGCGATAAAGGGACACTCCATTGTTGGTGGGAATGCCGACTGGTTCAGCCCTTTTGGAAAACAGTATGGACGTTTCTCAAAAAATTAGAAATTGAGCTCCCATTTGACCCAGCAATACCACTCCTGAGAATGTATCCCAGAGAGGCAAAAATGTATAGTCAAATTGACATCTGCACTTGTTTGTTCATTGCAGCACTCTTTACGATAGCCAGAAACTGGAAGAAACCTGAGTGCCCAAGAACAGATGACTGGTTAAAGAAACCTTTGTTCATCTACACAATGGAGTACTATGTAGCTGTGAGAAAAGATGAAGTCACGAAATTTACATACAAGTGGTACAACATGGCAAGTATCATGCTAAGTGAAATGAGTTAGAAAGAGAGGGATGGACGTAGAATGATTGCATTCATCTGGGGGATATCAAGTAACAAAATATGAGATTAATACCCAAGAATATCTGAAATCAGCACCAGGAGGATTACTCCATAGCTTGGTCAGAGGCCAGCCGGGTATTCTAGGGGAAACGGCAGATCAGATAGAGAAGGGAGCACCAAATAAAGGGTGTTTGGAGGATCCTCCCAGGACGGGAGATGCATGTTGAAAGTGGACTATGGACTGAACATGTTTGCCACTCAATGCCTCTTTTGCAGACCACAACACCCAAAAGGAGAGAGAGAACAAAAAGGAATGCCCTGCCACAGAGGCAGGGTGCGATGGAGGGGGATGGGAGTGGGAGAGATATTATCCATGGTGGTGGAAAATGGGCACTGGTGGAGGGATGGGTATTTGATCATTGTATAATCGAAACCCAAGCACAAAAATTTGTAAATCTACAACTGTACCTCATGATGTTTCACTAATAAAATTTTTAAAAAAACCTAAAAGTCTTTGCAGGGCCAGTGACACAATGGATAATGCGTCTGACTATGGATCAGAAGATTCCAGGTTCAACTCCTGGCTGGCTCGGCGAGCACACTGCTTTGGGGCTCGAGCGATAGCACAGTGGTAGGGCATTTGCCTTGCACGCAGCCAACATGGCCGACCTGAGTTCGATTGCTCCGCCCCTCTCAGAGAGCCCGGCAAGCTACCTAGAGTATCTCGCCCACATGGCAGAGCCTGGCAAGCCACCCGTGATGTATTCGATACGCCAAACACAGTAACAACAAAATCTCCAATGGAGACTGGGCCCGCTCGAGCAAAAGTCTTTAAGCACCAGACAAAGTCGCCCAGTCTCTTAACTCCTATTCAATACAGTACTGGAAAACTTTCCATAGGAGTTAGGCAAAAAAAAAAAAAAAAAGATATCAAGAGCATCCGGGTGGGAAAGGAAGAATTCAAGCTTTCACTATTTGCATATAATATGATAGTATGCTAGACTCTTAAGTATATGATAACTTAAACGTTGATAAAGGAGCAAGAAATGTGAAGAGGAACAAGGAAATCCTTTTCAACAAATGATGCTGGGAAACTGAACTGCTACCAGCAAAAAAAAAAATGAACTCTGACTTCTGTCTAATTCCAGGTACAAAATATTACAAACCTCAATGTCAGACACGAATCCATAAGGTACCTGGAGCAAAGTGTAGGCAGAACCCTCCATGGCATTGAAGCTAAAAGCATCTTTAAGGATGAAACACCACTGACCAATCAAGTGGAAACAAACATAAACAAATGGGACTATATCAAACTAAAAAGCTTCTGCACCTCAAAGGAAACAGTGACCAAAATACAGAGAGAGCCCACGGAATGGGAAAGAATATTTACCCAATATCCACCTGATAAGGGGTTAATATTCAGGATATACAAGACAACAGCAGAATTGTACAAGACAAAAACCTCCAACCCCATCATAAATGGGGAGAAGAAATGAAAAGAAGCTTCCTCAAAATTCAAATACAAATGGCCAAAAGGCACAGAAAAAATGATCTACAGGGCTGGAATGATAGTACAGCAGGTAAGGTGTTTGCCTTGCACGCAGCCAACCTCGGTTTGATCCCTGGCATAGCATATGGTCCCCCAAGAACCGCGAGGAGTAGTTCCTGAGTGCAGAGTCAGTAGTAACCCCTGAGTATCGCTGGGTGTGACCCAAAAAGCAAAAAAATGCTCTATATGGCTAATCATCAGGGAGATACAAATCAAAACAATAATGAGGTATCATCTTACACCACAGAGATTGGTACACATCAAAAAGAACAAGAACAACCAGTGCTGGCACCAATGAAAGGGACTCTCATTCATTGTTGGTGGGAATGCAGACTGGTCCAACCATTTGGAAAATAATATGGGTACTCCTTAAAAAACTAGAAATTGAGCTTCCATAAGACCCAGAAATACCACTTCTGGGAATATATCCCGAGGGTGCAAAAAAGCACACTAGCAATGACATCTGCACCTGTATGTTCATTGCAGCACTGGTCACAATAGCCAGAAACTGGAAACAACCTGAGTGCCCCAGAACAGACGACTGTTTAAAGAAACTTTGTTACATCTACACAATGGAATACAATGCAGCTGTTAGGAGAGATGAAGTCATGAAATTTGCTTACAAGTGGATGGTCATGGAGAGTATCATGCTAAGTGAAATGAGTCAGAAAGAGAGGGACAGACATAGGATGACTGCATTCACATTTATGGAATATAAAATAACATAAGATTGACTCCGAAGGACAGTAGAAACAGGGCCAGGAATACTGTTCCGTGGTTTGTAGCCTACCTCATGATCTTGGGGAGAAGGCAGCTGAAATAGAGAAGGGATCACTAAGTCAGCGATGGTTGGTGGGATCTTTCAGCATGAAGGATGTGTGCCGAAAGTAGATAAAGGACCAACGTGGTAGCCTCTCTGTATCTGTATTGCAAACCATAATGCCCAAATGTAGAGAGATGGTATGAGGCAGATTGTCTGCCATAGAGGCAGGGGGAGGAGTGGTGTGGGAGGAATACTGGGGACATTGGTGTTGGAAAATGTGCACTGGTGGAAGGATGTGTGTTTGAGACTAATACCCTAGGAAAGTAGAAACAAGGGCCAGGAGTATTGATTCATGGTTGGAAGCAGCCACAAGTGTGTGTGCAGGGGAGCAGGGCAGTTAGAATTAAGGAGGGACCACTATGACAATGATAGTTGGCAATGATCACTCTGCATACAAGAACTGCATAAAAGACGACCTTTAAGCACCTGTTTTGAAAACCACAATACCCAGAAATAAAGAGAGAAATCAAGAGAAAAACAAAAGTACCCTCCATAGAGGCAGACTGGTCGGGGTGGGGGGCGTGGATTGGAGCGGGGAAACTGAGGACATTGGTAGCGTGACATATACACTGGTTAAAGGATGGGTGTTGGAATATTGTATGACTGAAACCCAGTCAGGAGCAATTTTGTAAATGTGTACCTCACTGCGAAAAAAAGAAAGCTCTAAGAGGATTAATGTCTTTTTCTTCGAGACTCTAAGTATGTCCTTTTTTATCATAGGCTGATTTTAAGGAAGCACCAAAAAAGGGACGTGTGAAAGAAAGATAAAGCTCACCATAAAAACCTTAAAAAGAATATAATGTAGTGTTTATAGTAACTTATCATAGTTTTCATCACTTTTATTTAACAAAGGAATCAAGAAACACATAGTTAAGTATTTTATGATTTCACATAACTAGCAAGTTCCTGGGTTCTCTCAACTGAGACTGAAGCTTTTGCACATGCTTCCTCTCTCCACACTCCAAAAATTACACTCTCTTTCTACTTACCTCCCCGGGCTTTCACTCTGATAGGTCCCTGAGGGATTTTTGCCAGACAGTTACCCACCCAACTCCAGTGAATCTGTGTTTTCTCCTGTGAAACGTTGACCTGAAATTTGGTGAGGTCAGAATCTCCATTCCAAGGGCTTTCTCCAGAGTTCCATACTGTTTCAGAATCTGTTTCAGGAAGAGATTTGTTTGACAGCTTGGGATAGTGGTGCCATTCATTAGTGTTAAAGGGTAGAATCCGGGGCTAGGGACCACACGTTGAGAAGGGAGGAGCCAGGGGGCGGTCCCTTGTGACCAGACCTAAGGAGAGGTCTGGAGAAAACCTGGCTGACAAGCTCCTGGACAACAGCTGCTGTAAACGCGTATTAGCCGCCTGGGGCCCAAGGTAAATCAGACCTTTCAACAAGCAATGGGGTTGGGTTCTGTTATGCAGGGAAAAGGGATGAAGGGAAATAAGAGGAGACTTCTGGAGGGTCGCGCGCTGAGGAAGGGGGTGGCGAACGCAAGAAATGTGTGAGATGAAGGAATCATCGGGGAAATGTGAGCGCTGAGGCAAACAATGTGTGAGAGGGTGCACTTGCGCAAGAGAGTGCGAGAGGGCTGAAGAGCATGGAAAAAAATGCGTCGGCATTTAGGGGTGGGACCAGAGGGTCACGCTCTTCCCCTGAACCTATTTTCCATAAATGGCCACTATTCAGTCATTTTTTAAGGTAAATGTTAACCCAGTGTTTTTTAGGATATAAGGAAAGAACAACAGAGGAAACTGTATCAAAACGAGGCTGTGCTAGGCGCAGGAAAGGCAGTTAGAGGGTGGCGTCATTTTAAAAGAAGATTTCATCTCTTTCCACCCTAAAACTCAGGTAATATCCCCACCCCGACCTTTTTCGTCCTCAGTGTTGCCCTCCAACCCCTCTTCCCGGGCTCTATTCTTTCGCCTTTAAGTAAGGTAACTGCCTCTAGTCTTAGTCTAACCAGCTGGAGCCTGAGCAGAGTGGGTGGAGCCCGCAGCAGCCACAGGCTGAGCTCAAAGGCTGGTGGGACTGATCCCGGGGGAGGGGGCCACTACCGGCGCACGGCAGCCATGACGTTGATCAGATCATTCACAGAAAATCCTGTCTCATTCCATCTACAGTCGCAGCTCGATTCCAGATGCCTTTATCCTTTCGCTGGGCGGTGAGCTGATGGCCCAGGTTCGAGAAGTTTCCCTGCCTTCTGGCTCTTTGGTCCTTTGGAGCTCGGGAAGTGGGATAGGAGCCTTCCCCTAGTACGCTATGGAGAAGGAGAGGGAAATGGAGAAGGCGGTGGGGAGGAGAATGTGTGTTCAAGCCTGGGAGCTGAGGAGATGAAGCTGGATCCGTTACAGGGGCACAACCTCGCGCAGGAGGAGAACTTGATGTTGAGTGGCGGCAGCAGCGGCAGCGGCAGCGGCAGCGATGAGAAGGTGCTTCTCTCAACGCCCCCTGGCTGTCACAGTGGCAGCTGGCCCCTGTGTTTGCGCCGCCGGTCTCGCCCTCGGGCCCTGCCTCTGGCCCACTCCCGAGGTCCGCCGGGGCGTTCAGCTCCACCCCTACCACTAGCCCATTCTCCTGCGTCTCTGCTGCTACAGCTGCTTCCGGGTTCCCGAACCTGGTGCAGATCTCTGCGTAGTTATCCCCCCAGATCAAGGCGTCAGACAAAGCAAGGCTGTTCTGGAGATCGAAGTGCCTTTGGGGACTGGTTGCTGGAAGGTGGAGTTTGATCACGGGCCCACTGGCTGCTCTCATGTGGAGAGCTTTAAAGTAGCTAAGAACTGGCAGAGGAACCTGCGGTTGATCTACCAGCATTTCGTTTGGAATGGGACCCCAGAGACTAGGAAACGTAAGGCAAAGTCGTGCATCTGTCATATATGTAGTACCCATACTACAAACTCCATGCTTGTCTCTCCTGTGTCTTTTTTGGCTGCTTTACTGAGAAACATATTCACAAACATGCAGAAACAAAACAGCACAATTTAGCTGTAGATTTGTATCATGGGGTTGTGTTTTGCTTTATGTGTAAGGATTACATATATGACAAAGACATAGAACAGATTGCCAAAGAAACGAAAAAGAATAAATTTAAATTAACTTCCACTCAACAGAGGTGATTTAAAAAGTGTATGACATCAGATATTGAAGATAAACAATCAGCCCGTGAGCACAAGAAACAGGAGACAAAATTGGTGAAACCCAAGGAAAGGAGAAAACAGTTTATACTGTACGCCTGAGGGGACTGATTAATCTTGGGAACACTTCCTTATGAACTGTATTGTCCAGGCACTTATTCATATTCCTCTACTGAAAAACTTCTTCTCTAATAAGCATAAATTTGTAATGATAAGCCCTAGCTTGTGTCTTGTCTGTGAGATACCTTCTCTTTGTCATGCTATTAACTCTGGGATCCAAACTCCTCACATTCCCTATAAGTTACTAAACTTGATTTGGATTCATGCAGAACACTTAGCAGGGTACAGGCACCAGGATGCCCATAAGTTCCTCATTGCCATATTAGATGTGCTGCATAGATACAGCAAAGATGATGGCAATGTACAAGAGGCCAATAACCCCAACTGCTGTAACTGCATAATAGAACAGATATTCACAGGTGGCTTGCAGTCAGATGTCACATGTCAAGCTTGCCACAGTGTTTCCACCACAATAGATCCATGCTAGAACATAAGTTTGGACTTGCCTGGGTCTTGTGCTACATTCAGTTCTCCGAATCCAGAGAAGGCTGACAGTACAGTTGACTATATACCAGGAATCCCTTCACTCAGATTGCCTGAAGTGGTTTACAAGGCCAGAAGACCTAGGAAGCAGTTCCAAAATCAAATGCAGTAGTTGTCAAAGCAACCAGGCATCCACAAAACAGCTCATGATGAAGAAATTACCTATTGTAGCCTGTTTTCATCTTAAGTGATTTGAACACGTGGGTAAACAGAGATGAAAAATTAATACTTTTATTTCCTTTCCCTTAGAACTTCACATGACTCAATTTTTAGCCTCCACTAAAGAGAACAGAATGAAAGAAGGTCAGCCACCAGCTGACTTTGTGTCTACTGAGAATAAGTACCATGGAACTTTGGAAAGTGGACATTATATCAGTTTTACCAGGCAGCAGAAGGATCAGTGGTTCAGTTATGATGATGCTGTCATTACCAAGGCTACCATAGAGGATTTACTTTTAAGTGAAGGATATTTACTATTCTATCACAAACAGGATCTTGAAAAAGAGAAAGACTAGTCTTACCAGAATACTTATCAGAAAAAAGTAAAAGGGATGAATAAACAAGGATATGCAAACCTAATCTGGAATGGACAATAACAACTATACAACAAGCTCCTCTTGAAATATCATAAAACCTACCTGGAATGAACAATTGACAATAGTACCTATGTGATAATTAGCTTCTTGATACGAATAATGTATTTTAACATGGTGTGTGGGTCTGGTTGGGGAGAGTAAAAACCAGTGACCGCTTAGCCTTAAAAATAGGAAAAGGAAGAAGAGGCTAAAATGGTCACGTAAAGCATATTTCAATTATCAGGATGCTTCAGGCGGTGAGAATGGGACAGGAGATGCTAGGAATGATGTAATTTGTTTGTATAAAAAAACTGTGGGAAGTCAGGGACTTTCCTTCATCAGAAGAAGCTTCAAAATTGGTATTTAAGCTACATCAGACCAGTCATAGTTTGAAAAAAAAGATAATAGTTTATGACCAGTGAGATAGCTCAAAGGTATCTTCTAAGCAATGCTCAAGTGTGGCCCTGGTGGCCCTCATTGTCAGTTCTGGTACAAATATGCCAAGTTTTGCCGATAGTAGCCACTAGGCCCCTGGACTCTCAAGAAGAGCTGGGGTGTGCCCCACCAAAAAGTACTTAATATTGTCAAAGAAACCTTGAAGTTTTATATTAAAACTTTTTTGGATTTTAATAGAAAATGTTCTTAAATGTTGAAATATTAAGTTAAAATTTTCAAACAGATCATTTAAATGTTAAAAGGTTCAAATTTAAAAGTTTAATTTTTTTAAGAAAACAATTTTAGAAATATTTTTAAAAGGTAAAATTAATAAAACAAGGAAAACTGAACTTTTACATGAAAGTTAAAATGGACAGTTTAAAAGTTAAAAAGTTAAAAGATAATGAAGAAAGCTCCTAAAAGGAAAATTTTAAATGGAATAATATGCTATGTAAATATGCTTGTTAAAATTTAGAGCAGGGGACAGAATGAATTTACAGCAGGTAGGGTGCTTGCCTTGCATGTGGCTGACCCGCATTCTATGTCCAGCACCCCAAATGGTCCAAAAATTAAAAGTTAATAACATTTAATAAAAATAAAATATTTATAAGAAATAAATAAGTTTTAAAAATAAGAATGTAATTAAAATTTATATTTATAGAAAATTTTAGAAGAGGAAAGTTTAGAATTCAATAGAATTGTCTAAAATTTTTTAATTAAAAAATTAGAGACAGATGAACTAGGAATGGCTCACAGAACTGGAGGGCATATTTTTCAGATGGGAGTCCTGGGTTCAGTCAGTAACACCACATGCTCCACAGATAATCACAGCTATTATCCCCTACTCAAATTGGAGACTTAATCATGGTGTTTAAATAATCTTTGATAAGTTCAAGTTGAGAAATTTAAATAAAAGCTAAGTATTTAAACAGAAGATACAAAGAAGAAAAAGAAAGTCTTTAAAAAGAAAGATTTAAATTTAAAAAGATAAAATATTTAAATAGACAAAGCATTAAAAAGCCATAATATTTTATTTCAATGTATACATACTAAAATCTGGGTTATAGAAAGTGAGTGGAGGGGTATGAATAACAAAGGTTTGTGAACATGTGTTTTTAATCATGTTCATATATACATTCAATTTGAAAATAATAGATAATTTAGCTATCTGTACTATCCAAGTGTGGGATTTCTGCAAAGTTTGATCTATTCTACCTTCCCCTATCAGGATCCACACCCTATTTTATTTCCTGAAGGAAGTATAGCTACTTATTTGACAGAATTAACTTCATCTATGAAAGACGAACATTAAAATTGGAGGCCAAACAGTATAGCAGATCAGGCTTTGCAAGGCTGACCTGAGTTTGATCCCCGGCATTCCATGTGGTTCAACACCACCAAGAGTAATACTTGACTGCAGAGCCAGGAGTAAACCCTGAGGACCATCTGGTGTGCCTCTCTGCCTAAGAAAGAGAGAGAGAAATGAAAATTGAAGCCAGTCCCTCCATTACAGATCATTAGTTTCTCTAGGAAGCTCTTGACAATCTAGGGGATTAAGAATATTAAACTGAATCCTATGACCTGATTTGAGGAAGTGCAGAAGACCCATATAAGAGGACTTCTCACCCTCTTCTTTCCCTATCCCCCTCCATGGAGAAACAGGATTTTATTTTATTTTATTTTAGATTTTTATTAGTGAAACATCATGAGGTACAGTTGTAGACTTAAAAAATTTTGTGCTTGAGTTTCAGTTATACAATGATCAAATACCCATCCCTCCACCAGTGCCCATTTCCCACCATCACTGATCCCATTATCCCTCCCACCCCCCATCCGTCCCATCCCACCCTGCCTCTATGGCAGGGCATTCCCCTTTGTTCTCTCTCTCCATTTGGGTGCTGTGGTTTGCAAAAGAGGCATTGAGTGGCAATCATGTTCCGTCTAAAGTCTACTCTCAGCACGCATCTCCCATCCTGGGAGGATCCTCCCAACACCCTTTATTTGGTCCTCCCTTCTATATCTGAGAAATAAAATTTTAAAATTTTCATATTAGAGCACCAGTTTTGTGTTTGAAAATGCTTTCAATTATTCTTGCTTGTACTTCTTTTTCCCTTATTCTATCATTCATGCCTGGTTCTCTGAACCCCTCACTTGTGGTCCTTCCTAGGCCACCTGCTGGCTTCTACTCATCCTTCAAGACACAGCTCATAGATGACCACTCTGGAGACTTCCTTAAATTCTCTATTCAGGTATAAGTCATAAAATTGTTTCTTGCCCCCCTATCCCTTTCACTGTGCCTCCAAAATATTTTGTCTGTACTTCAGTAATATTACTTATTCTACTTTGATTCTGCTGTAGTTTTGTAATTGTCTGCCCCTCTGTACAGAGCATTCTGCTAACAGGTGACCAAGACTTACTCATTTTTATGCTAATAAATGCTTGTTGAATGTGAGAATGAGTTCAGTTATTCAATTCACTCTCTCAGTAAATATGATCTCACCATTATCTGTAATATGGTATAATAGGGTGCAGTATGGTGTAATCAGTGTTATATTTTCCCCCAAAGATGGTGTAAGAAATGCTACTTAGTTGTAGGGTCTGGATTTATAAAGGAGGTACTAAGTGAAGAAATAAAAGAAATAACAAGAAATAACAATAAGTGTCGCAAGGAAGCGAGAATAGGCCTGAGAGTTGGTGGCCATGAGATAACAAGTGGTAGGGAGTACAGGAGCTGCAAGTGACACTGGGATCTCTAGTATATATGTGGCAACACTTTCCTTCATCACATCACAGTGTCTCAGAGCTCCCACAATATTTTCTCATCTTAAAAGGATGTACCAAAAAATCTCCATAGTGTGTCACACGATTATACCCAGGAGATAGCGTACATCACTGTTTCTTGATATAGTATATCCTTGCTTCTTAATAGTAAGTATTTGAGTTGAGACCCTTTTAACCTAAGAAGTGAAACATAGGAAAGGGCTTCAAAGATCACCTTGAGTTCATTATGAGATTAACTTTGAATTAATTTTTGGTCATCCAGTGTTTAGAAATCTTTTACTACTACCAATTTTTGTGGAAACCCCACACTTAGTTATGTAATCCCACGTTGGGGTACGACCTACTTTAAGAAGCTAGGATCTGCATCACTCCGTGCATTATGATTTTGGTACAGAGGAGTGAAGTTTATTGGTTGTGTTTAGTGGAGAGCTGTAGTTTGTCTGTTTATCATTATGTCCTCCTATTCTTTGTTGTTTCATTGAAGCTGGGTAGTGGAGGTAGTGGTGGTAGTGGAGGTCTGCCAGTGGGGTATTTATCTGGTCCCGGTAGGGGTAAGGTGGGTCTTCTGTGTGCAATATGATCCCTGGGTCTCTAGTGGTTAGTAGGAGCAGACAGGGCAGGGTAGGGTGGGGCTCCTGATTAGAATCCCTTTGTCACCAGTGGTTGGTGAGAGCAAGCAGAGAATCTCTGTCCCTGGGTCCGCTGAGCCTGGAGTCCAAGGTCTCAGAGAGTTCCGCTTATCTTGTTCTGTGGGTCTCCAGTCATGCATGAGTTTCGGCCGGAGCTGCCACGCGGGTCCGGAAAGCGTCCTGGAGTGTGGCGGCGGCTGGATAGTGGAGGTAGTGGAGGTACTATGCCGTGCGACACATCATAAGACACTAAATACCCATCTTCCGGAATTACCATAGCATATTTGATAGGGTTCAAATATGGTAACACCTACGAGGGCGATTAGAGGTCGCCCCAAAAGCTTCTATCCCTCTCGGAAAGAGTGGCAATCTACCGAGAGTATTCAGCCCGCACGGAAGTGCCTGGCAAGCTATCCGTTGTGTATTTGATATGCTAAAACCAGTAATTACAACTGGTCTCATTCACCTGACCCTGAAGGCTTCACCGACATGGCAGCACTGAGAAGAATGAGAAAGGAGAGGCCGATAAAATCTCAAGTGCGAACTAGGCTGCCACAACGAAGGAAGACAAAAATGATCGTCTGTACTTTCAATGCACGTATGCTAGCATCAGATGCATCCATCGAGGACCTGATGGTACAAGCTCGAATGATCAAGTACAACATCATTGGTCTGACCGAGACAAGAAGGCACGAATCTCACCATGCCGTTTTCGACACTGGAGAAGAATTGTTCCTCGGAACATGCGATAAAAGAGGTGTCAGAGGCATCGGTGTCCTTGTCAACACAAACTTGCCCATGAGCATTGATTCATTCGAATGCCTAACAACCCGAATCAGACGATTACAATTGAATAGATGTGGCTCACGGCCGGCAGTTTCTATCTTCGTTGTCTACGCACCAACATCTCATTATGATGAAAGCGAAATCGAGAAGTTCTATATGGAGCTGGAGAAGTTCTAGAAAGAAGACCACACCTTCTACAAGATCATTGTGGGTGATTTTAATGCCAAGATAGGACCGAGAAGATCAGCTGAAGAACTTCACATAGGAACCCATGGCCTAGAGTGGAACGAAGAGGGTGAGAGACTGTCTGAGTTCATCGTGTCAACCAAGACCATTCATTGTAACTCAGTTCCAGAAGGCAGATTCTAAACGTTGGACTTGGGAGTCTCCCGGTGGAGGATTCCACAACGAAATAGACCACATCATATTCAATCGACAGATTTGCCTGAGCGATGTCACTGTTGTCCCAAAATTCCGAACGGGATTGGACCACCGTCTCCTTCATGCAAAATTCTACTTCACAGAACAGGGAGAAAGGGCTGCAAAGTTCAAAAAGAGAACTCCCAGAATGA